TTCTTTTCTTTTCTTTTCTTTCCTTTCTTTCCCTGGTTTATTTCTTCTTACTGAGGGCTGGTAATTCCCCAAATGAGGTTGCCTACACTCTGTGACACCAGAACACCAGAATTAATTAGGGTTTTAAGCTACACTGTGACTGTGGCACTCCCCAGGTCATTTCTTTCCCAGCCATTTCTGCAGCCTGCAAGCTTAGATCTCCCTGTTTATTCCAGGCATCACTAGAGAGGATGAAGGGGAAAGATGAGCACATGCCACGTGACTTTCCTTGGAGGGTTTCTCAGGCATGGATTCAGGCCAGAGAAAAAGCAGGAAGGGTTGAATGATCTACATGTGAGATTTCTAGAATCACAGAATGCTGTGATCTGAATGAATGAATGTAGGTTAAGCTCCTCTTGTCATAAATGAGGAACTAAAGAGAAGATGTGCCCAGCATCACATAAATGATTTAGTGGAGTAAAAGGCCAAAATGAATTTAGAAGAAGTGGGAAGTGGTGAATGCAGAGCCTGACCTGAAGTAGCATAAGAGAGGAGACTAATTAATATTCATGGAGTGACTATTTGAACTTGAGCACATTCACGTAACCCTGAGCCTCAGTTTCTACAACTGCAAAATAAAGATTCTAATAATAGCTGACACGTCTATAATCTTGACTGTGCTAGCAACTATTCCAAGCACTTCATATGCTCACTGATTTCATCCTTATCACAAAAATATGACATAGATCATATTATTTTCCCCACTGTCCCTTGCTCAGGATCTCACAAGGCAGCAGTGGAGGTGCTGACTAGGGTAAGGGTCTCATCTGAGGCTCGGGGTGCTCTTCCAATCTCACATGATTACTGGCAGAATTCATTTCCCTGTGGCTGTGGTATTTATGGCAGCTGAGTCTTCAAGGCCAGCAGGAGACTGTCTCAGTCTTTGAAAGGCCTCCCCTGATTAGGCCAGGCCCACCCAGGATCATCTTTCTTTGGATTGCTTCAATCCAGCTGGTTAGACAGCTTAATCTGTCTACAACATCTCTTCATCCCTGCTGTGTGACATAACGTAAACATGGGAGTAGTATTCCATCACCTTTGCTGTGTTCTGTTGTTTAGAAGTCAGTTACAGGTCTCCTCCACACTCAAAGTTGGGGGGGGGGGTTACACAAACCCCTGGATACCGAGGGGAAGGAGTCAGAGAGCTGTCTTATAATTCTGCCTTCCACAGCTAGTAAATCTCAACCTAGGCCCAGACGGACTCCAGGTGTGGGAGTCCATGGCCCCAGTGTCCAGGCTCTTCACAGTTAGGATCTTTCTCCCTTTGAACAAAGTAAACCCACTTTATAACCTTGCATGGAGTTCTGAGTAAGAAAACCCCCAGAAGACACACTGGGTGCTAAGCAATAGTGCATTCTCGTCAAACCCCTGCTTTAAAAGGTCTGCTCTTAAGGCCTGCTTTTAACCACCTGCCGTTGTGTATTTTCAGGAAGAGATTTCCAAAGTCTCTCTAAAAACTCAGGTTATATAAGTCATTTCGATGTGTTTATATTCTGAGCCAGAAATAACCCTGGGGTTTGAGATTTGAGACTCGCGTTCTCAAAAAAAAAAAAAAAAAATTAGATAAATAACCGTAGCTCTGCTTTTTGTCTTTGAAACAGATGAAGTGATTGAGAAGAAACAGTGAACACCTTCGTTCTGTGGAAAGGACAACATGGATCAGCCATTTACTGTGAATTCTCTGGTAGGTAGCACCAACTGATACCCTACATATGGCCTGAAAACCCGGAAAGAAGAACGAAAACATAACACATGTGAAATGAGTCACCGTTACTTACAAAGTTGAGCACTTGTCGCTCCTCATCCATCTGTGGGGTCCTCTCCTTTGAGGAAGTGACTAATAAAGCCATCTTTGCTAGAGCTAAAAATAATTCTTTTTGTCCACAAAAGCGTGAAATTTTAATCTCTCTGGTTAGATTCCAGGAGTGTGGGGGAGGGGAACTTCAGAATTGACTTTGTAAGCAGGGACTTCAACCTCTTTGTGCTTCAGCTTCTTCACGGATAAAAACTGGAAGCTTCCCTTGTGTGGTAATGACCGAGGGAGACATTCTATATACGACACGCAGATGTTACTTTGGGATCCGGCGTAAAGGTCTCCACACTTGAAATTCTCGTTCTTCTCACTTTGCCCTTTAGAACCCAACACGGTCCGTGCCTTCTCGAGCTACATCTTAGAAGGAACAACATGCCTGAGACGAAATAACAGGAGCCCTGGGATCACAGGGACATATTGTGAGTCCCAGATCATTCTCTGGGTGAGAATGTAGGCACATTATATAACCTCCATGGCCCCATTTTTGTACTTGGCACATTACGACAGTTGGGGACAATATTTTTAATGTTCCCAGCCAATCGTGGGGTCTTGATCAAAGGAAGCTCTCACGACTGTTAGCGTTCTTCTGACGACCAGCAGTATACTGAATACCTGCACTCGCAAAGCTTTAGCCCCAGATCACAAGGAAATGGAGGGGGCGCCTGGGTGGCTCAGTCGGTTGAGCCTCTACCTTCGGCTCAGGTCTTGATCCCAGGGTCCTGGGATGGAGCCCCGCATCGGGCTCCCTGCTCAACGGGAAGCCTGCTTCTCCCTCTGCTGCTCCCCTTCTGCTCTCTCTCTCTCTCTCTCTCTGTCAAATAAATAAATAAAATTTTTTTTAAAAAAAGGAAAAATGATGGATTATAGGTCTCCAGATTTCCAAAGCCATCTAGTTTTCTAAATCAGATTTCTATTGCAATTGTTAGTTTCCCATATATTTATCTAATTAACTCCCTGTTCTGATCTGAGGCAAGTGTCATCTCGTCACCCTTTTGCAGATCCATGTGGAATAAAACTAGGGTTCTGTTGTTTGGGTTTTTTTTTTTTTTTAGTTGCAGACAGGAGTTTCAACAAGCTGAAATCTTACGGCACAGGTCCTGTTTACGTATGGAAGATTTTATCAGAAATATGTGATGAAAGACAATGTCAAAATAGAAGGAGGGCCACAGAGAGAAGATGCATTTAATTTGCTAGTTGCAAGAAGGTTAAATAATGTCTTGTGGAAGGTGCCCTTTATGGTGTCACTTGGGTCCAGGCGCATTTTCCACCCTAAACATTTAGCTTGGGAACTGTTGCTTAACCGAATACGTTCTATTCAGCACACAGTGTCCCTACCGTATTCCCATTCTGCATCTTCATGTGTCCTCCAGGAGAGAGGAAGCACAGATGACCCAACACAGGAGTGTGACCCACCCTGTGCTCCCCTCAGCCACCTTGTTTGTCCTTCAGGGGCAATGTGCCCTGGATGCTTCTTCAAGACCATATGTGGTACCTAGTTTGATTGATTGATGGAGTCATTCATTCATTCTTCACTCATTCCTTCATTCGTTCCTTCATCGGACAGACATGTACTGAGTACCTAGATGTGCCAGGCACTGCGCTTGGTTTTGGCATTCTGTAGCCTCCAACAGCCATAGTCTTTTCTCACATGATGCCTCTGAAGAACCAGCCAGATGACTAATTCTCAGTGGGCCAGGAAAGCCCTTAGACCAGAGAGAAGGGGGTGTTTGTGGAGGGCGGACAGCCCCCCCCAGTACCAGCAGCTCCTCCCTGAACATCCTATCACCTCTTCTCAGCCCCCTTCCTTCAACTCTTCCCTTGACCTGAAGGGAGCAATGTGTTTTTCCTTTTTCGTTTTCTAAATGCAAACCCAAAACATCACCTTACTTATGGAAAATCTCAGTGAGTTCCCCCGGTGGCAGGAGGAAAATTAGGTCTGGACGTGAAATGAAGTATCATTAATAAAATAAAAACGAGACCATCAACCTCCACAAACCTTAGAAATGTCCCTCAGTAAAGCCACAAAATCGTTTAACTAGTATCTCCCCCTCCAAATAAGCCTGCTGCTATTTTGTTCGGACTTTTTTCCTCTGCAAATGTAGTATATCAAGACATTATTTATTAACTGAACGATCATGGACCAGCCCGGGATGCGAACTCCTATTTGTTATACATTTTCTATTGTGAAAAGAGGTTTTGAGGTCCAGAGAGCTACCTGTCAGATTTTTGGCAGATTATCCATTTTTAAGTGTGAGGCTTTGATTTTGAGGATGTGGATGGTGGGGCACTCTCTAGTCTTACAGCAAAACATTGTACTTCCAGCTCAGGCTGTGGTCTTTTGTTTTTGTTTTTGTTTTTTTTCTCCCAGATGCTTGTTATTCTTTTTGCTGATTGTTTTTTAGACACATAATGAATTTACTATCACCCATGTAATTGTGCCAAAGCAGTCTGCGGGGCCGGACTACTGTGACGTGGAGAATGTGGAAGAATTATTTGGCGTTCAGGACCAACATGGCCTCCTCACACTGGGATGGATCCACGTACGTGTGACCTTTGGCTTTCAGTATATTTTCCGTGGAGTGCCGTTTTCCTTCTTGAGGAAATTTAGCTTCCTTTAAATCGTTTCTTCTTGATTTTTTTCAGGTGGAATAAAGGTCATCATATTAAAGCATTCTCTTCAATGTTAGGTCATGTCTAAATCTGTCAGATCTGGATTTGGACAGGCTTATATTATGCTTTTTTTCTTACCATCCAACGTTAAAAGAGAGAAACATTTGGAAATTGGGTGACTTGCTTTGATGATTTTATAGAGTCTAATGGAGACCTAGTCAGATTTTTAACTAATTCGATGAGACCATTATTAATGTTCTCTTTCTCTTTGCCATGGGTCAAAAGTAGATTAAGAAAATTGCTGAAAATGTTTCTTTGAAACAGATGTTTTTATATATTAAACAGGAACCATACATTCTTCCGCATCTCCCCTCCAGGCCAAGGAGGAATTTATCACTGTACAAACAGCTATGGTGGGGCCAAAAATATTGGGTTCCAACATCTACTGGGCCATCATAGGAGCAAGAAAAGGCTTGACATGAATGAAAAGACATGAGTTTAAATCTCAGTTCTGCTAAAAATTCCTTACAGAAATGTTGGTAAATTATGTAAATAATCTGGGCATCAGCTTTATCATCCATAAAACAGATGTCATAATAATTGACTTCCTGCAGTGGTCTGCAGTAAATGAGATAATGCCAGTGAATTTCGTGACACCTTTTTCTAGGAACTCAAAAAATGGTAGCCATTGGTTTTGGTGATGATGCTCTACTTTTCCTGTCCATGGTTTAATCTGTCTGGGGGACATTTTTCCATTCAGTCTTGTACATGTGGACCTGGGGTAGAGACAAATCATCCCACTATCATGGGATGATGGCCAAGATTTTCTGAGAGAATGAGGAAGAATTCAAGAGCCCTTGCAGAGAGAGGGGCAGAACACATGCTTGGATGGCCCCATCCCTCCCTACCCACAAAATCGGCAAGCACTTGGTGTTACATAATTTCAGAGGTAGAAGAGACTTTAGTCCCAGCTCTACCTAAGTTCCTTTTTTTTAAGATTTTATGTATTTATTTGCGAGAGAGAGAGAGCGAGAGCATGAGCAGTAAGAGGGGCAGAGGGAGAGGGAGAAGCAGACTCCCCACTGAGCAGGGAGCCCGACATAGGGCTCCATCCCAGGACTCTGAGATCATGACCTGAGCTGAGGGCAGACACTTAACCAACTGAGCCACCCAGGTGCCCCCTCCACCTAGGTTCCTATGTGTTCTTCGTCACTTCCTTGCTTCCAGATGCCGCATTGAGCAGCTGGGGCTAATGAGTGCCCTCTCTCCCTCACTGGATTTGTGTGAACCATAAACAAGACATCAAGTGTGAAAGCCCTTTGAAAAATATAAACCACCTCTCAAACGCAAGAAATGATTGATGACGAAGAGCTGGCAAAACCTTCCATATGTCTATTTGTTTTACTTAACAGTAAGTAATGTGCCTTAGTGGGTGCTTAGAAATTGCTGAATTTTAAAGGCACTCTTTAGTTTAATGTGATTTTCTGTAACAGGGATGTATTTTAAAGCAAAATAAATTGCAGCAAAGAAATTATAACACAAACTGAGTAAGAATGACAGTCCATTATATTATACTTACACCGAAGAGTCAGTGTTAGTTTATCTTATAAAACATTTCCCAAATTAAAAACAGGTTTTCCCTTTATGGCCTGTGTATATAATATATGCAATAGTGAAGTTAAGTCATTTAGATGATGAATTTGGCAAAATTTTAGAATTCCAGGATTTTGCTTTTTGTTTATTTCACCATGGCAAATCATTGTGGTTTGATGCAAACCCTAAAACATTGCATTTCTAAATTTTAATGGTTGCAAATGACATTTTGTGATTTTTTTTTATTGAATAATAGTAGCAACACATTCCAGAGCTAGCTTTTTTTCAGATGTAAGCTAGTCCTAGGAAAGAAGGGCTGAATCAGAATCAAATAGGGCTAGATTCGCATGTGGACTTAGCTTAACTGGCTCCCTGAACGTTGGTATTATTTACTCTTGTGCTTACCTCAGTCTTCTCATCTGTAAAATGGGCATGGTAATAGCACTTTTCTCATGTTGTTGTAAGAGTTGAATGAGGTAATGCATGGAAGGTGATTTGCTCAGTGCCTGAGCGAATGACATCTGCAGCCATCATCATCATCATGGTCCTGGCCATGGTCATGGTCATTTTTATTTCCATCGAGGGTGTGAGGTGGGAGCGCCATTCTCCCATGGAAGAGCTATTATTATCTGAGTAGCAGTGATTCCTCCTGGCAGAAATGTGCTTTCAGTCTGCAAATAAATGGACAGGCAGAGTGATTTGTCTCTTTGACAGTCTGCTTGCCGCCTCCACAGCGCTGGAGTCCCATTGAGCAATTCTTACTTTCTCACCAAGGCATAGACAGTTCTATGTAGTAACAGAAGGTTTGCATTGAATCAGATGAACAGGCAGTCAGACCCTCCTACTCATACCCTCACTAAAGCTTTGGGTTTTAAAAGGTAGGATAAGGGCAACTGGGTGGCTCAGATGGTTAAGCGTCTGCCTTTGGCTCAAGTCATGATCCCAGGGTCCCGGGATTGAGTTCTGCATCGGGCTCCCTGCTAGGCGGGGAGCCTGCTTCTCTCTCTGCCTCTGCCTCTCTCTCTTTCTCTCTGACTCTCATGAATAAGTAAATAAAACATTTAAAAAAATAAAGAAATAAAATAAAAGGTAGGATAATTTCCAGTCCTCAGTTGACCTCCCATCTTTGTAGACCAAGACCAAGAGTTACTTTTTCCTCACAGAATACGTAACTTCTGTAAATAGATATCAATGACTTTTACTTTCATTCTGTTAAATCTGTTAAATAAAGTGGAAATGAGTTGTAATATCCTGCATTTCTTTAGCAGACCATAGTTACGTGTAAAGGCATGAAGCCGTGCCCTTTAGTTAATAATGGCGATATTGGGGCGCATGGGTGGTTCAGTCGGTTAAGCCTCCAGCTCTTGGTTTCGGCTTAGGTCACGATCTCAGAGTCATGAGATCGAGCCCCACATGGGGCTCTGTGCTCAGCAGGGAGTCTGCTTGAGATTCTCTCTTCCTTCTCCCCCTGCTCCCCTCAAAAAAAAAAGATGATATTAAAATAACAACAGCAATAACACAAGGAATGATTTTGATTCCTTTCTGTGCTAGGCACTGTTCTAAGAATTTACATGGATTGTCTCATTTAATTTTAATGTAGCAACCCCATGAAGAAAATGATTACTGTCCTTATTTTATAGCTGATGAAATGGGCATGAGGGGGTTAATCTTAGTATCATACAGCCAGTGAGCGATGGGCCTAGGACCCAGACAGTGCATGCCGGGGACCTTGGTTTCATGCTTCAAGTGGTCACATTCCTTTTTCAAGGGTAACTGGGGTTGACTATGAATTTTAAAATCATGTTGGGTGCAGGTATTTTTCATATTCAAGTGTGTACCTCTGATCTGTCTCTCATATACACAAGCTTGTATATAGCCAAAAACCTGGAAGATACATCTTTCGATTTATAATCTCCCATTCCTTCTCATCATATGGGTATTTACTTACTGTAGGAGATGAGTCCCAAACGCCTCCAACAACCCGGAGAATTCTGTTCTCCCATTTGTAGGGAATGATGATCCACAAAAGGACACACAGCAAAATGTGGTAAATTCATTGAAAGCATTCCTTTTGTGTCCATGGTTTTGTATAAAGTATCTCTGTGTTTCCGATCACAGCTGCGTTCCTGACCAGCTGTGTGACCACGGGCAAGTTACTTAAAGGAACCTCAGGATCCTGTGTGTGAAATTGAGATGCTAATAGAAGCATCCCCTAGCTGCGTTGTGATGAGAAGAGTTCTGTCTGTTCTAATAAGCAGAAAGTGCATGAACACTTCCAAGAGCCTCTTCTCAAAGTCGTAGTTATTCCCAAGGTGCATGAGGGGAAGGATTATGTCAGCGACATATTTTTTAAAATCCTGATTTGATTAATGACGGTAAAAAAGAAAAAGCCAATTACGAGAGATTTCTCTTCGAATGGGCTGTGGCCTCGGCTAAGACAACTCCTCCAATAAGATTGTCCTCTTTTCTGTTTATAGACACACCCGACCCAAACTGCGTTCTTGTCCAGTGTTGATCTTCACACTCACTGTTCCTATCAGCTCATGCTGCCAGAGGCTATTGCCATTGTTTGTTCACCAAAGCATAAAGAGTAAGTGTACCTGTGGACGGGGTCCAAGTGAGGCGTTGTCTGGGGCTGCTGGGTTCAAGTGCGTCCACGTGGCAGGTGGTGGCTCTTGGATAGGCAGGCACCCGGTGCCCTTGGGAAGCAGAGATTGGTGCCAGCCAGCTCCCTTTTACCGATAGCTCAGCAGTCTTTTGGTTTTTAAGGTCCTTTCATAGTAGAATTACTGGCTCTCTTTACTTAGTGAGCATGATCTCCAAGTGGATAAACTGGATGTTATTTCAGTTTGCCTTTTGAGATCGTGATTCTCCTGTTGTAAGAAAATTTCTAGCCTTAGCTTAATGACCTCCAAAGCCTTTCTAGGTTTGGGAGACAATGACTGTGAGAGAGTGATTATGAGCAGAGGAGTCAGACAAACTTCGAGTGGAATCCTGCCTCCAGCCTCAAATGGTGTGTGACTAGCAGGATACCTGACCACTATGAGCCTCAGTCTCTTTATCTCTGACACCACCCGTCGGGATTGATGTGAAGAAGCTGATGTGTAGAAAGGGCTTAGCATAGTGCCTGGTCCCACAGTTAGCACTTGACAAATATTTGCTGTTTCTTTAAAACAGTGTCTGTGTTATTAGAGAAAGTAGAAATATTTTCCACCTGTGATTTCCTCCCACGGGGCCTCCCTTTTCCATTCCGGTCTCACAGGACAGTTCAGCTGCCCCTCTTCCCCATTGCAGCCCAGCAGGTGCGTGGAGTTCGCCTTGGCCCCTCGGGAGTTTCTCTGCTCTGGGCCAGTGGTTGCAAAATTGGTTTAAAAGATCGCTATGGAGGGCGCCTGGGCGGCTCCGTAGGTTAAGCGTCAGACTCTTGATTTCAGCTCAGGGTCATGAGATCGAGCCCTGCGTCGAGCTACTCGCTGAGCGTGGAGTCTGCTTAAGATTCCCTCTCTCTCCCCCTCCTCCCCCACCTGCTCGCCCTGGAAAGCCAAATGATCTTAAATTTCTGTTCCTTTTGTTTCCACCCTGTAACAGCACTGGCATTTTCAGACTCACCAACGCTGGCATGCTCGAGGTTTCTGCTTGTAAAAAGAAGGGTTTTCATCCACACACCAAGGACCCCAGGCTGTTCAGTGTGAGTAGACTGCGCTGGCTATTTTTTTTTTTTTTTACAGATACTTATTTTTCACCTCTTCCTTTTTCCTTTGCTCCTTGAAGGAGAGAAACAGTAACAGTATAATATGGGATAAAACACGGAAGTGCTTAGTTTGGGGCTTTCTTATCCTGAAAATTAATCAAGCTTTGTAGTTACTTCTGATTTCTTTGCACGATCATTTTATTTACAAGAGAATACAAGTGTCTCTGTAGCACAGTTGATTGTGCATAAAGTTACCTTTCCATTTCTAAATGTTTCTCTGTGATACTTAAGGAAATGCAGTTTTCCTCAGACCCCAAGTAAGCACAACGAAAGAAAATGATATTTAGTGTCTCATAAATTCTTTCTGCCCGATGTGGCCAGATTAATTTTTTCATAACAGTACACTGAAAACTGTAAGCATACTTCTTGGTTAGCTATGTATAGCCCCAAAGAAACACTATTTGACTACATCTTTTCTTTCTAAATGCTTGCCTGGTGGTTCTCTGGTGGTAACGTCAGAGAAACATTATTTTGAAGTTAGAATCTACTTAAAATGACAATTACTTGGCAACGTCTGTACGTGTGTTTTGGTTGGAAATGAATAAATACGATTCTATTTGTTCTGATCGGAAACATTTTCAAAATCAGGAACGTTTTTAAGCTAGGAAATTCACGTTCCCTTTCTGCAGAGAACCAGGGTAAACATTACGATGTAAAACCAATTTTTTTCTCGCCTAGATATGCAAACATGTGTTGGTAAAAGACATAAAAATAACCATGCTGGATCTAAGGTGATGTGTTCCGAAGATTAGCACCGTCGACCCCAGACACCTACCCGTGGACGTGCGGTTGTGGATTTTCTTAAGACGTTTCCTGAAGTGACTGATATTTTGTATTTATACATTTTAGATCAGAAAGTTTGATATTTATTGTTCTTGCCCATTTTGAAGTTTCCTTTCTGGGTTGCTCTGTCTCCGGAGAAGTCACAGTTGGGTTCCATCAGTAGCTGTGAATGCGCCCAGATACTACAATCACACCATAAATAATGCGGCAAACAACAGTACGTCCGGTGTCCGTAGAGGTCTCCGCGCGTTTTCAGAGCTTTCCATGCTTCGCTGTATTTTTCTTGTCCTCGTTCCTATTAAAGGTCATTCCAAACAAGAGATGCTGAGTACCAGGGGGTCTCTCAGACAGGCCGCCTGTTTCTGCCACGCTTCCCTGTGGTCGAAAATGAGCAGTTTCCACGTGTGAGAAGAAACGTGGCTGTAGACGGTAGAGCCGTCTTGTGTTCAATGTCAAGCTCAGAGATACGTCTGCAGCGGATCCTAGTGGAGGATACCAGAAGAGCGAGCTTCTGCTCAGGGAGGGGTACCAGAGGGCTTGGGGTTAGCAGACGATTCATTAACTTGATTGAGAGGACTAAAAGCAGAGACGCTTGAGAGAAGAATGAAAAAAGACGCAGATGAAAGTGTACAGCTTATTACCGTGAAAGTTAATAGGGGCGACAGGAAGAAGAAATGAAATGTAGGAAATAACTGATAATTCTCAGCCTAAGAGAATAAGAAAATAATTTGGAAAGTGTGCTTGCAATTAAAAGCACCTACCTATAAATCAAGGCACAGGGAACTGGAAGAAAAATACCCTTAAGCTGAATAAGGTGACATAAATACAACATGGTTTTACCGAGGCTTGGATTGGGATTTGTGACTGGTATCTAGATAATAAAAGCATTTACCTGGGTCAAAAGACAGGGATTAAATAGAAGGAAGGGGAGGTTTGTGGACTACGTTGGCCAGTTGAATTAGGAGGAAAAACTTTGTGGAGACAGAATGTGACCGTATTCAGAGGTAAAACGTTTAAAGGGGCAATTAAGGGGCACCTGGGTGGCTCAGTCATTAAGCGTCTGCCTTCGGCTCAGGTCATGATCCCAGGGTCCTGGGATGGAGCCCCACATTGGGCTCCCTGCTCCGCGGGAAGCCTGCTTCTCCCTTTCCCACCCCCCCTGCTTGTGTCCCCTCTCTTGCTGTGTCTTTCTCTGTCAAATAAATAAATAAAATCTTTAAAAATAAATAAAATAAAAAAAAAAAGGGGCAATTAAGGTAAAATGAGGCCACTAGAGGGCCCTAATCCAATCTGACTGGGGTCCTTAATGAAGAAGAGATTAGGATGCAGACACAGAGGGAAGACCACGAGAGGACACAGGGAAAAGACAACCCTCTACAAGGAAAGATGCTTCCAAAGAAACCAGACCTGTCCACGCCTTGATCCCAGACCTCCAGCCTCCAGAACCATGAGAAAATAAATTTCCACGTCGTCTGACCCACTCAATCTGTGGTATTTTATTATGGCAATCCAGCAAACTCATACAGTACTTAATAAATATTTACTGACGTTGTTTTCTTTTTTCTCTCGCGGGACGGAATTGGAAATGACTTTCTTTGTTGTCACACAGAAATTACTCTCTTCTCCACAGACCTTGTCAATTATAGAAGAGCAAGGCAGGTTTCTGTGGGTTATTCTCAGCTCCTGAAGGTGCTCCTGGATTCTTCTGAGAAGTGGTTTGTTTGCGGAACAATTGGCATTATATTCGAGATGCAGTGTCAGTGAAGGTCATATCCCAGGGCTGGTTCCATATCTCCCCCCACTTCATCCCACGCTGCAGACACACAGGTCATGCCAGAGACTGTGTTATTACAGCTGCTTGGACTGAGACTGAGGTTTTTATTGGGGAACCAGCCACAGTGACCCCAACACGTGGAAAGCAGATGTTTCTCACCTGGCACGTCTTACAGAATTATGTAGTGAGAGAATGTTCTATGTGAAGAGGATGCTTGAGAAATGTCAAGTGTTGGGCACTGATCAAGGAAAAGAGGAAAACGTTCAGCTCCTTATTCTTGGAATTTAGCGTGTTATTTGTCACAAAGACAACAAATAAGCCAAAAAACTCTCCTCTGTTCCTTTAAGAAACGTGTTTCCTTTTCTAGCGTCTTGGCTCTTTGTGAGGCAAGAATGTCTTTTCCTTGGGGACAGTTGACAAAAACATTAGTTAGTGGCTCTGAGTCATCATACTGATGTCCGAGAAGACTCTTTTTTTAGTTATCAAAAGGCACGTCTTCTTTTGGATTGCTTTGACAAAAATACCACAGGCTGGGTGGCTTAAACAACAGACATTTATTTCTCTCAGTTCTGGAGACCCGAAGTCTGAGGGAATGCCAGCACGTTTGGGTTCAGAGCTCATCTCCCTCCAGTGTCTTCTTATAAGGACACTAAAGTCCCATCATCAGGGCTCCACCCTCCTGACTCAGCCACCCCCACACACCATCACCCTGGGGACTCGATTTCAACATATGGATGTGGGGGCGGGGGAGGGAGGTACAAACATTCAGTCCATAGCAAGGCAAGTGCCAAAAAGCTAATGTTTTATCCATTTGCCTTTTTTTTTTGGAAACGTTGCTGTACATCTGAAATCCCATAATTACATTAAAAAGAACCATTCATGAGAATGTGAATAGCTGTTATTCTAGTCCCTGTGATCTGGTGTTCAAATGCCTTCAAACAGATTTACGGAATTAAGAAGATAGTTTTCAGTTGATTAAGTCATACTAGGTATTAGTTTCCAAGAACAAATTTCTCTAAAAGAAAGGGTTGTGTTTTTTTTAATTAAAGCAATATATCTTATATTAAAGTTTTATACTTACGCTTTTAATCTTACAATATTTTTTATAATTAAAATAATTTAATAAAATCCATATTCCTGTATATGTTTGAATGATCAGAGAGGAGCTAGAGAAATGGAAAAGATGACAAAAATCCAGGGGAGAGAACATTACTTAGAAAGGAAACTAGCCAGAATTCAGCATGCAGTTGGGGCAGTGTAGAGGATGAGGGAGAGGAAACAGAGTAACAGGGAAGGGGTGGGTAGGATGAGTGTTGTAGACTGCCGTAGCGAATTTGCTTGAAGTAAATACCTTGGGCATTATCTAAAGCAAAAGACACTCTAAAACCATGGAGATAATTTTTCCCCTCCAGCAGGGAGGATTACCTACACAGCCACATTTATTCAAGTTTAAAATTCTTCTGTGCAGTTATTCCAAGAGAGAAGTGCATGGACAGACTGGTCAAAAAATAAGTTTCACAAGGTTTTCTCTCACTGAAGGCTGATGGACAAGAAAAACAAAACAAAACAACTAGAAGACGTTTGCTCTATTCCCGAGTTCAGGCAAGGCTTCTTCACTTCTAGAAATGAGGTGTATGAATTCCTGATTTGGCAGGTTCCTTGCAGCAATAAAATGTTGTACTTATTGAAGTTTTTTTGCAAGGCAATACATTATATTTTTTTCCTGTTTTTAAAAAACTATTTGTTGAGGTAAAACTCACGCAACGTAAAACTAACCATTTTAAAGTGAACAATTCAGTGACACTCAGTACCTACGTAATATCATGCAACCACTACCTCTGACTAGTTCCAAAACATTGCCATCACTCCGAAGTGAAACTCCTCACCCACTAAGCTGTTCCTCCCCATTTCCTTCCCTCTGGCTTCTGGCAACCGCTGACTTGCATTGTCTTTATAAATTTATCTATTCTGGAGATTTCATATAATTGAAATCATACAATGTGTGAACTTTTGTGTCTGGTTTCTTTTACCTTAACATTGTGAAGGTTCATCACATTGTACCAGGTATCAGTACTTCGTTCCTTTTTAATGCCTGACTAATATTCCACTGAATGGATATGTCACAATTTGTTCATCCATTCATCCAGTGATGGATGTTTGGAATGTGTCCCCCCTTTGGGCTATTGTGAATAGTACTTCCATGAACATGTGTGTAGATGTCCTTTTTGAGTATCTGTTTTCATTGTTTGGGGGTATATACATAGGAGTAGAATGGCAGGATCATATAGTAATTCTATCTTTAACATTTTGAGAGACCACCAAACTGTTTTCCATAGAAGCTGAACCATTTTGCGTTCCTGCCAGCAATGTACAAGGGTTCTAATTTCTGCACATCTTTGCCAACACTTATTTTTTTTTATGATAGCCATCCTAGTAGGTGTGTTTTGTAGTATCTCATAGTGGTTCTGACAGAACAGTACATTATTAACTTAATTCTTTTAAAGTCAAAATTTAAAAAAATATTTATTTAATCTCTACACCCATTGTGGGGCTCGAACCCACCACCCCGAGATCAGGAGTCACACACTCTTTGACTGAGCCAGCCAGGCATCCCAAAGTCAAATTTTAATAATAAAATCCAAGCTGATTATGAAGATGCCTGAGGCTTCTAGAACTCTCTGTCATCACAGATTGTGGGACATCCAGTCCCAGGCATTTATCAAGGTCGACTCTTTTGACTGGGTAGGATTAGAAATACAGGAGAGAGGGGCGTCTGGGTGGCTCAGTTGGTTGAGAGTTTGCCTTCAGCTCAGGTTGTGATCCCAGGAGTCCTGGGATCAAGCCCCACATTGGGCTCCCTCCTTGGTGGAAAGTCTGCTTCTCCCTCTCCCTCTGCTCCTCCCCCTGCCTGTTCTCTCTCTCTTTTAAATAAATGAATAAAAAAAATCTTAGAAATACAGGAGAGAGAACTGACAAGAGCCATACCAATGGCACTTAAATACTACTTTTATTTGTGTGAAACTCAGTGGTTGATGTATTCACACGGGAGAAGGCTACCTGGGAACATCCATCTGAAATCAAAAACTTTTCCTTTTTTTAAGAACAAGGGCTAGTTCTTAATTTGAAGGATGGAATTTTTGTGTGGACAGGTGATGCCATTTTGTAGAGGAAGATCTGATGTTGGATGATTTTAGGCCATTTCTTTTTTTTTTTTTTT